TTGGACTTGATGATCCCTGAGGTCCTTTCTAACCTTAATGAATCTATGATTCTGTAGTTCGAAATAACTTTGTTTTCAGCCACCACATCATCATCTTTTTGAATGCTGTTGACTGTGCAACTGATTGTACCTAAGGTTGGGGAGGTGGAGATGGGTACACTGAGGGAAGAGCGAGGCCAGCTGATGCCATCTTGATGTGTTTGCAGAACACCTGGTGGGGGGGACTCAAGATGTGCCACCCGTGGGACATGTAAGCGCAACAGTCTTGGGTCTCTACACATTGGTCACCTGGGGCTGGAACTTGAGGTGTGCTCAAAATAGACTACGTCCTTCATGAAACCTTTATGAAAAGAAGAATGGTGACTTTTATTTTTAAAAGAAAGCTGACCCATTTCTGAATCTCCACATCCTGGGTATGCTAACCGTGGGCTGTTCTTCTTCTGTTAACCTGTAGATACCTGAACTGAGAGAAAGAGAAAATAAATTTGTATTGCATGCAAGATCAGACTATTCTGGTAGTTTAAAATCTCTAGGACATCTGTAGTATTTTCAAATGAATTTAAAGTAGATCCTAAACAAGTTTGCTGAACAAAAATTCATACAGGAATAGTTTGAATTAATAATATCAGGGAAGTAATGCAGGTTCTCAAAGGTCTTGTGCATCATACTTACTAGGAGATATTTTTTTTAACATACTGTTTTTTCTTTATTAATATGGCTACACTTTCAACATAGGTATTGACCAGTTTTAGTCAATTGGATAGAGACTCAGGTTCAAAAGTTCACCCGATTTATGCCAAGGATTTAAGCAGTCTTTTTACTTCCTTCTAACAATCAATTTAAGAGGTTTGTGTTTAATTGAAAAAGGAGTACTAATTCTAATGCACTCTTCAAAATCATCTAGGATTTCTCTCAGCAAGGATTAGCCACCTGGTTTAATTTGCAGCCCTCCCACTCCTGTGTTTGTGTAGAAAATAATTTCTCCTCTTCTGCGTCCCTGAAAGAAGGATAATGGTAAAAGTGACAAAGGCAGAAGTACTGCCAATAATTTGCAGATAGACAACAAAAGAAAATGGAGTGTGTCTGATGCTGGTTTTTGTGATTTTCTTTCCTTGCTCCTCTCATCGCGATGCCATTCAAAAGGGAATTCAGAGCTCTGGTGATTGAGATGGTGTTGGCCACCGATATGTCCTGTCACTTCCAGCAAATCAAAGCCATGAAGAACGCTTTGCAGCAGCCAGAAGGGTGAGTCACTTCACAGCACTGTGCAGTGAGGGGCTGCGTTTCAGCTGGTGCTTTGCCATTGTGTTGGACTTCAAAAACACCTCTCCAGAGGCCCTCATCCTCTTTGATGTCCATATCGATTCTTTTTCTGCTGTTGAATTTTTTGAATTTTGAATTAATTCACTTAGGAGTAAACGGGCACCCCCCTATACACACATCTCTCTTCTGTGCTGGTGGACCAAAACTTGCAAAGGTCACCTTGTTGAGGTGGGCCTCCCTGGGCATTTCCCTTTACATATCAGGGTAACATCAAGGACGTGATCCAGCTGAGTGACCTCTGCAGCTTGAGTATGACTCAAGATTATAAGATGTGCAGAACACATCTTACTCGTTGTCCTTCATCAGCTGCCACCTCTGCAAGGGGTCTGCTCTGTAACCAGAGGACAGATGAAAACAACTTGAGATCTGCTGAGGAAAGGACTGGAAAGTAACAGATGGAGCAGTATGGGGAAGGCCTTTTCTTCTTCCCAGTATGCCACTGGGAGCTATAATATTTTTGTCCACAGTTCTTCCCCATAAAATTCCTTTTATAGTGCAGAAAGCTCTGAGTGATGCTCATTTTTTAACCCTGGAGACAGGTCTGTCCAGAGCCTTCCTGAATTATACCTGCATGAGACTAGATTGTGGCTAGCTACTCGATGCTCTCAGAAGCTACAGCTCTTCCAGCTATTTCAGACAGTCAAAAGCTGGAAATATAAATGAGACTGCCCATCCCAAGAAAACATTTGTTTACTGGGTTCTTGGGCTAACCTCTCAGGTTATGGTTTTAAGAAATTGCCAGCCTTTTTTGTTCTGTGGAACTAGGTGCAAGGATCCCCTTCTGGCCTCACACTAGTTTTCTAGTGGTGAAACATTTATCAATCACTGTGGAGATTCATCAGTGCCCCTAAGATCAGATCCTAACTGTTTACTTCAGTGAGATGGCAGGGACCAACTTCTGAGCTGCATAAAATGCAGCCTAGCTGAAATGGGGAACGCAGCAGCTCTTCAAGCCTGCTTATGCAGCCAAGCAAGCCTGGAAAGGAGGTCAGCAAGGCTGACCAAAGTTTCTTTTTGCACTTCTTAATGTCTCTGTTAACAACAGGAATGGTGTATGTTGGAGAAATTAGACAATCTTTCATAGCTGTCTGATTTTATGAAAACATAAATCATTCCATTAATATCCTGGCCAAAGATTCTAATAACCTCATTTCCCTGCTTAGGTGAGACTTTTGTCATTCTCCACTGTAAGAGCAGACAATTAATTTGTTTGATCCTTTGGGTTTTCAGAATTGACAAGCCGAAAGCCTTATCACTGTTGTTGCATACAGCAGATATCAGTCATCCAGCCAAGGCCTGGGATCTCCATCATCGCTGGACCATGTCTCTGCTAGAGGAATTCTTCAGACAGGTAAAACTAGGGAAGGTCCTCTGCATTTCTGCAGCACAGAGGGAGTGTTTAGGATTGGGCAGGGAAGTAGGAAAATATGAACACAGATATTTTCCTCCTTCTCTGATTTTCTCAGGAACCTCCTAAATGATAAGGAGTTTTCTCATCTGGTACCAGTAGTACTGACTGTTATGCCTCTTGGGAAGTTAGTGTCTGATACACTGTCAGTAGATATAGATGTTATCTGTGTAGCAGAAATTCAAATTTGGGAAGCTAATATGTGTTTCAAATTAGCCAAATTTAGAATATGTGATGAGCTACTTTAGATGTAGAACCATAGAAAATAGATTTAGGTAGCTGCACTTTATAGAACCGTACTTATATTGCTGGGGTAGATGTGAAAAATGCATTACCCTTACTTTAGATGAAGTGAACTGATCTACTGCATAGCTCACAGTGGACCACCTGTTGACAGACCCACAAATCTAGACAAATCATTAAGCCCTGTGTGATAGCTATAAGCTCCCCAAGTGACTAATTCAAAGCATTTAAAGAGCTGCCTTAAAAAAAAAAAAGTAAAAATAAACAGAACACTAGGGGCATTCAGGATACTTTTCAGCAATATGAATTACTAAACTAAACAGAAAACGAAGTGCTTGTTTTACCTCCAAAGTTCAATAACTTCATGTTTTATTGTAAATCTGAATGCAAAAAAAGGAAAATATATAACAACTTTTAAAAAGTTCTAACAATTTTTTTTAAATTACATCTGTTTTTAAAGGCATTGTGGGAGTCCCTTCTTAATAAGGACATTGCAAGAATTTTCTTTGAAATGAATTCTTTAATTTGTTTTTCAAACCAAGAAGGCGTTTACCAAGCTGTAGCAGATATATCATACCTGCAGCTGTCTCTGCATTGCCACACAGGCGGCACATGCAAGTAGGATGATTTTCACATATATTTTAGGAAAACTGCATCTTTATGCTCTTCTAGCTACTACACTACTGAGTCCAATAAGACTGGTGAGGGAATTAAGATTACCTAGATATGAGACCACAAAAAACCCAAGTTTTGATCTGTTTTACACATGCAATGAAGACAAAATAATTGTTTTATGTTTTCATAAGAATAACTTAATTTCAGCCAACAAATCCTACTTAGTTTTGAGTGACAGATGCCTCCACTTCTAGATAAAGCTTTATATAAAACTTGTATTCTAGTTCCAAATTCATATGCAGTATTAAATCCCTCTTCAGGAAAACCCTTAAGCTTACGATGAAGCATAGACTTGTTCACTGAAGTTATTTAGTACTAGTTCAATAAATACATCCCTACCTGACAGCAGAAGAACAACATGTACTCTTCTCACAAGCTGAGAAGTACCACTAGCCAGAGGGGACTGTGGTGATAAGAAACTGGGCTGGCCTGAGGTTAGGTATTTATTTCCTTATGCTCTCCACCTGCAGACCCTCTCCTGTCTTTTCTGTTATGTGTTCTGCAAAGACATAAAGCCTGACTTAACCTATACCAGTACAGGTCCCCAGCCCTACTGGTTTCCGAGTATTTTGTGATGTGACACGTCTTCCTACACTAAGTAACCATGCTGTAGGTGTGAATGATGCTTCTGAGTATGATACTATTTTTTTTACATTCAGCAGCTATGGTGAGCATCTCTTAGAGCAAACATTATGTGTGAATTAATTTGTTTTACTAATGCACTTTAGCTAGCCATGAGGGAGCTGCCCAAACAGCTGAGAAGTAGTCAGGTATCCCTCTGAGCACTCAGAAAGGCAGTTAGGGTTTCCTTCCTAAAGAGAATTAGGCACTGGGGTGGCCTTACACTGGAGGAGTAAGGAGTAAGACAAGAATGATGATTAGGTAAGAGCTGTCTTTGAGAGATGTTTTTTCCTGAGAGATGCAGCAGACACAGTAAAAGAATGTTAATTCAAATTATTTCTGTGTTTGGTTTCTGGTTTAGACTCTTAATATAAAGCAGAATTGTTCTGCAGTAGAAGAACACTATTGCTTGTTCCACCCAAAACTCTAACCGTCATTTTGTGTATGTTATATTAACAAACAGAAAGATAATTCAGCTCTTTTTATGCCTACAGAAGTTTTTCTCTGATTAGTTTGCTGGCTATTTTAGCTTCCTTTTGACATTAGTCGCAATACTGGCAAGAGGTTCAAAACAGTTAAAGTGAGCTGCTGATTTAAGGAATTGATTCTGTAGTACAGATAACAGGCTATTTAAATTTGAATGCTTAGTGGGGGGTACTGGAACTATGTCATCCTATATGTCTTCTCAGCATAAATCAGTATGTTATAGAGTGACCGAACCAAGTTAAAGGGCTTTTTGAGAATATGCAGCTTGAAAGACCTGAAAAACATGGGTCATAACATTTGATCTTCTGCACCGTCTTGCGATGTTAGAAAAGGACGTTCAGTTATGAGGGCTGGAAAGTGTGTTTGGACTTTTGTACTTAGGCGCTTATGTAAAATGTTGACAATGTCAGTGTTCCCTAACACTGCTCTCTGTTCAGAAGAAAAAAAGTAGTCTGCATCTGGCCAGCCATGACCGGTGAATTCCTTATCTGAAAGACTGAAAAAGACATGAAAAGAAGTGCAAGCCCTGAAAAATCAGTCCTGACACTAATGTTTTCTCTTGGGAGGTTTGCTCTGAGAACTGAGTTCTCCCAGGTTCTCTGGAGAACTGCAGTGAGAAGCATTCTTGTGCTCAAGTGGGTTTTTAGTTGGTGCACAGAAGTACCAGGCAGGCAAGGAAAGCTCTGAGGAAAGATTCACTCAAGTTAAGATGCTTACTTCACCATCTTCTAATTGGACTACAACTTTTCCAGACAGACTCAAATTCTCCAGAATTTGTGTTAAAAAAAAAAATCTAAACTTAATTAAAGAAAGCAAAATGAGAGGTTTTTACTTTCATGACCTAAAATGTCAAAGTGCAGTGTGTCTTGTCTTTTTCTAATTTCTTCTCAATTTTGTTTCTCCAGGGTGACAAAGAAGCAGAACTAGGGCTTCCCTTCTCTCCACTGTGTGATCGCAAGTCTACTATGGTTGCTCAGTCTCAAATAGGTATGTCAGCAAAAAAAGTTGAGATATGAGTATCATTGTGACACGAGTATCATATCATATGATATGATGGTCAGTCCCTTCAGTGACCTGTTCAAAACCTATTGTGTTTTTCCATTTATTCCTCCCACATTTTAGTTCCCAGTGCTTCAAGCCAACCAATATTTTTCACTGAAGCCAAGCAAATGGCAAACCTTTTTCTGCTGATTTCACCCGTTCAGAAACAGAGATCTTTTTACAGACTCACTGACAACACTTTCTCTACCTCTCCTCCAGTTATTGAGTGGAAAAGTAGGAAAAGGATGAGGCAACAAGCCTGGTATTTGGTGAGAAAACAAGAGGGACTAAGTGAAGTAAAACTTTTCAGGAGACTGGGAGCAAAAAAAGACAACAGAAAAGGTGGATTTGTGTGTGGATTTTTATAGCTAGGAAGCAAGTGAAGTATACAGAAGAATGTGATCTAACTTTGACTGGAGAATAGGGTGCAAAGTGGAATAACACAAGAAAGACAACATGGACCCTAAAAATGAGGGAACAGACCAGAAGCAGAAAGAGGGAGAATGTATTAAAGGAAAACAAAAAATTTGAAGTATGGAATTTCTGTCAAAGAACAAGAGAAAGATATCCTTGAACCTAGGAAAGTTCAGATTCCAAGAAAGATAACATGGACCCTAAAAATGAGGGAACTGAGACCAGAAGCAGAAAGAGGGAGAATGTATTAAAGGAAAACAAAAAATTTGAAGTATGGAATTTCTGTCAAAGAACAAGAGAAAGATATCCTTGAACCTAGGAAAGTTCAGATTCATATCTGTGACTAAGAGCTGTTTCTGTTTAAAATTATTTCATTGTTCCTGTTAGGCAAACCATTCTCCGAGGAACCCCATCCCAGATTTTTCTGGCTTTGGAAGTTTAGACAGTTCATCCAAGAATCTGAACTTAAAAAGTGCTATGCAAGCCTGGCCTTACTGCCAGACTTTTAGTGTTTACTCCTCTGCAGTGGTAACCCAGAAGAGTGGGAATATGTGTAGAGCACAGTGCAGCTACTGAGGACATTTGTATTCTACCAGCAGCTCGGTGGAGGGAAGCAGCAGCAAACTCAAAGTGCTGCAGTCTCAGCTAGAACCTATGTTGAGGACACCTGGACGTACTACACCTGCTGCTGTGCTGTGGGAGAAGATAAACTCACTCTCTCTCTCTGGCTGGTGTGGAGGGAAGCACGTTTAGAGACTTGGAGCCTTCTCTTCTCCAGGCTGAACCTCCCCAACTCTCTCAGCCTGTCCTCATACGGGAGGTGCTCCAGCCCTCTGATAAACATCATGACCCCACCCTGAACTCACTCCAACAGGTCCATGTCTATCTTATGTTGGTGGCCCCACATCAGAACACAGTACTCCAGGTGGAGTCTCACAAGAGAATCAGAGAATCAACCTGCTGGTCACACTTATTTTGATGCAGCCCAAGATATGGTTGGCCTTCTGGGCTGCAAGTGCCCGTTGCCGGGTCATGTTGAACTTCTCATCAATCAACACGCCCAAGTCCTTCTCCTCAGGGCTGCTCTCTATCCATTCTCTGCCCAGCCTGTGTTTGTGCTTGGGGTTGCCCTGACCCAGGTGCAGGACCTTGCACTTGGCCTTGTTGAACTTTGTAATGTTGGCATGGGCCCACCTCTCAAGCTTGTCAAGGTCCCTCTGGATGGCATCCCTTCCCTCCAGCGTGTCCACCACACCACACAGCTTGTGTCTACCATAACCAACACAATTCTACCTTATAAAAGAGGCACTTGTATGCAAAGGCAGCCTTGTTTAGGCACATACTGTTCGTCATTATGTTTGATTTGTGCAGTTTAGCAATCCCTTGACATTAATAGGCTACTCTCTATAAATCTTACCTTGTAACTTTATAAAATTTCCATTTCTCAGTCTATTGCACGTATTGGCAGTGACTTTCTGTAATGTCTCCTTGTCAAATCAAAACCTCTTTTACTTTCCGGCTATCTGCTGAGGTAAGGCTTTCAGAGTTGTAGGCTAGATTCTCAGACAAATAGTTCGTTCCTGTTCATTTATTTACCTGATTAATAGTCTTAACCGATTGTTCGCTGGAGTAGTAATTACTACATTGATTTGCAAAAGTAAGTTCTTCTAGAATTTTAAATTGTGCTATTATCTGCAGCAAGCAGCCATCAGTTCTCACACATAAAAAACTTCTGTCCTTTGTGAAATAAAATTGTGCTCTTGGTTCTATCAGGGACAGAGCCTAAAAATCTGTTCTGGTGGCTCGACTTGTTTGTTGTTGCTGGTTTGCTGCTCTAAGGTCACTGCAAGTGCAACAACAGTGGACAAGCATTTTTATTAATGAAAGATTTTCACGAATGCAGACTGAAGGTTTTGCACTACAGACTTTTTTTCCATGGAAAAGAAGCAATCTGACAGCAGAAACTTCCTCAAAAGAAAGAATGTCTCTCTCTCCTGTTGTTTCAGTTTGTGAATAAATTGTTCAGAGTTTAAACTGGTAATTAAAAAAAAACCTGAATATCAAATAATGAATCTGGATTTTAAAACCTATTAATGATAATGCTAATGACTGATTTATCATCCTTTTTCTTCTTCAACAGAGTGAGTGTGTTAGATATTTCTGTACGACAGTGAAGTACAGAAATCAGAAGAGATTCATGTCCAGAAGTCAGACTGCTTAGCAGAATGGGGGAGACAAACAAACTGCAAGGAAAACCAGGCCAAGACTTGTATTTCCCAACACAAATATCAGGAGTTAAAGCTTCTCTGTCTCAGACTGAAGAAGCTTGTTTGACTGGAGAGCAGCCTTTGTTGTCACTGTCCTCTTTTGCAGCTGATAAATGTAGCAGCATTCTTTTATTTTTGTCCTTTGGCTGGAAAGAAAGAAAATTACATCTTCAGAAAACTTGTATAAAGGCTGATGAGTGCATGCTAATGATTCTTTTTTTTTTTTTTTTTTTCCTTTTTTGGTGTTGAGCTTTAGCGAAACTGTCCTCTAGCCAGTGTTTGCTGTGGTGATGTTCTCAGGTGTAGTGAACGAATGCTAGGCACGTGCCTGGAATCCACCCTCAGCATGCAGTGTTAATTGGTAAAATCATCTTAGTCACTGGGGTACAGAAATATTTACCAATTTCATTGTACTGAAGAACAAAAAGGATGATAAAATGGTTATTAGCATTAATGGGTTTTAAAACCCAGGTTCATTATTTGACATTCAGGGTTTTTAATTAGCAAACGAAATCACCATATTTAAATCACGGTGTCTTTAGGTAAGAAGAGAGGACACGGAGAGGGGGAGGCACTTGGGAATATGGCATAAGTTACATAATTTATTAATAAAGTTCAAAGTTTTATTTCTGCGATAGCAGATTATGTTTCCCAACCTTATTATAATCCCCGTTTTAAGGTAACATAGTTGAATAACTTACTCATGTTATAGAGAATAGAGGGAAAAATACCACTTATCGAAGAAGAGTTCTTCTAGGTCTGTGGGTTTATTTACCTGTGGTCCCTTGTGGCACCTCTGCATGTCTTTGTTGATGAGATAGATGCAAGAATTCTCCCAGGAAAATCTTGTTTCTTAGATGCTTACAACTGGACCTTGTTTTTATGTGCAAACATTGAGTATCTCAGGAAGCAGATCCCACCACCCCACTGCATTACTTGCCAAGCAGAAGTGACAATGTACCATGGCTTGGGTTTCTCTGGTCATTAAGAGGTATAAATTTTTTGAGTGAAGGGGAATAGAAGAGACATATAGAGAGGAAGACACACATCCATATGTAAATCAAGTTCTCATTATCCTCAGGATTCCTGTGGCAAACTTAACACTGTTCTCAGTCAGTACAATTTCCAGTGCTTTAAAAAATTGTATGAAGTTTTCTGGGATTATCTGGGTTGTCATCTAGCACACAATTTCCTGTTGTGGCTTTGTACTGCATACATTTCTGATTAACTCCCTGGAAGGAAAGGAGTTCTTTTTTCCCTAAATTTGAATAGATAAGACTGTCTCAGTGTTATGGAGGCACATGATTCAGATGTTCAGATAAAACCGAAAGCATATTTTCTTCAGATTTACAGAATGTCAGTATGAAATTCTGAGAACTTGCAAGTAACATTTTCAATTTAACTAGGCATGAAAATACATTTAATCACCCATCCTTTCAGAAATTTAGCAAAAATCAGGGAGGGAAATGGAACTAGAAGGACGCACAACTCCTTTGCATTCAAGATGTGGATCAAAACATGTGTGAATTCAGGTGCCTGGCCCATGTGATGTCTTCTCCTTTTATTGTTCTGTTATCACCTAGAATTGCCACGGTCTGTTGTCATTTTTTCTCTGCAACTTGGATTTTCTTCATCTCATGAGCTTATGGCCACAGGGCCCTTTGGTCCACCCTTCCCAGCATTCAGATCAGAGCCAACTGTATGCTGAAGTAGAAAAAATTTGTCCCTTTATTTTTTTCCTTTTTTTATATTAAGAAATGGGGGGAAAGCATCTAAATCTGTTTTATTATCAAAAAGAACAAGCTGGCCAAGCTCTGAGGAGAGAAAATTCACAGCAACCCACTGATATGCAGTAAGTGAGGTTTGTGTGTAACTCCACACCAGCAAAGCTTGCCAGTATTATTAGTGTTATTACTTTTTTGCTTTTAGAGAATTCATCTTTGAAACCAAGTTTTATCCAAATCCGCTAGGAATTTGGCTTAAATATCACACTCCTCGTATAAAACAAGTTCTGATGCATCTGTTTATGTTCTGATTCACTGCAGTTTCTTTCCAGTGTTTAAGTAGGTACCTTTTATTGCATGCTATATCCAGACTCTTGGGTCAGGGATTAATGTCTAACTCTGTTTTCCCTTTCTAGTATTTGCCTATCCCTCTTTCAAGGTACAATTTTTTTACTCTGTCTTTCACAGTATAGTTGTCTGCAATCACTGAAGCAGCGACTCCACGTAAATCCTCCTCTTTCCTGCTTGACTCTGCTTGTGTTTCTGCTCAGGTTTCATTGATTTCATCGTGGAACCCACTTTTACTGTGCTGACCGACATGACCGAGAAGATTGTGACTCCGCTCATCGATGAAGCTTCCCGCTCTGGCATGTCTGGGTTCAGGCGTTCCAGGTGAATAACCATCACTCTGCACATACTGCCATCCATCACAACTCCCCCAGATCCCCCTCCACAGTCTACGACTTCCATGTGGCTTAAAGCCCCATATTCACATTGTGGACACCGCAGCTCACGCTGTGACATGACTTTGTAGCAGGGAAACTCCAGCCCAGGGAAGGGCAAAGAGGGAGGCTGACATTAACCTGAGCCATGCCTCCAAAGGCAGTGAGCACAAATGGTTGTAGCCATGCAATCGTGAACTTCAGTGCTCTCTTAGTCACTACTGTCAAAGAGAACTTAGTGGGAGTTGTTGGGAGGCACTCATTTCTTTATGTCTGTATAAATGGAATTGAAATATAAAAGAGGGCTGGAAAGTATAAGCACACTTTAGTGACAGTATTTAGGGTTATGCAAATGTACCGCCAGATTGCACCTGGAGTTTCAATGTAAGGAGTCTTGGCTCATTCAACCTGCTCTGCTGTTGTAGAGAAACTACTCTTCTAGTAGTTTCATGGACAGGGATTCAAATGCCACATGGCTAGTGCTCCCTAGAGGAGGACTACCAAGTCAGGATTCCGTCTCCCAGGTGACATCTTTACTCTTGGGCTGTGACACAAAGAGCAAGCACTAATATCTATGTCAGTTTTCTTGCTGTCTTTATTAAAATGCACGCAATGAAGGATTCATCCTTGAAAAACAACTGTAGGGTCTGTAACTGAAATGAGTGTCTGATTTCAGTCTCAGCTGAGGTCACCAAGCTCTGGAGAAAGGTTGTCCTCCTGTCCTGTGCCTAATGGCTCCCATTGGTGAATTTTAGGAGGTTCTTCCTTTGACATATTTGATTTCTAGCATTGTCTGACTCTGCAATGAATATTTAGGGAGTGAAGATGCACAAGAAAGGTAATGGCAACACTTTGCCTGATTCTATTTCTTAGGGACTATGGATGCCAAAAAATAAGCAGGGAAAAGCTGCCTTTTATTTCTAAGACTGGCTCAGGTTGTGCTGTTTGCTTTAATATCCATTGCCCTGGGGTGGGAAGGAGGAAGGGGAGGATGAGGTATTCAAGCTTAGTTTTTGTTTTTCCTGGTTGGGTCTCGTAAGTTATCTAGACTTAGAGTCATTATTTCTCCTTAACTGTATTTGGGTGTATGGGATACTGACTTATTCTGTGTTTTGTGATCTTGTGTCCCAGTCTGAATAGCATTAGTCCCTCCGAAGTTAAAAGATCAAGTGTCAAGAGCACTGGATCCGAAGGAAGTGCCTCACTCAACTGCTCCATACTCACTGTGGACTTCAAATGTTTTAAAGCCACCTGGACTGAGGTGGTGCAGCAGAACCGAGAGAAATGGAAAGCGCAAGCTGCCAAAGGTAACAGCCAGGCTTATTAGTGAAAGAATAAAATTTCTTTTGACCTCTTCTTCTTCAAGCTCTTCTTCAATCAAATTATTCTCCAAGTAAGCACTATTAGTTTGAAAGAATCTGCTTTTCAAGGTCAACAACCTGCACTGAACTCAGAAAGTGACTCTTCTGTGCCTTATAGTCTTCCTACATGGTGTAAGTGTATGTAATGAAGAGGATGTGGACAATGGGAGGAAAAATAAACAATTGTAAGGGAGGTCCCCTAAAGTCATGAGTCAAACTCAGGGTGGACGCAAAAATAGCTGGAACGGCATTTTTAGAGATTGGTTATCTGTTGTTCACTATTAAGACTGAAAGAGGTATGGATGATAGTTTAGGAGAGAAGGACAGGATATGCTTAATTCACAGCTGGTTTCTTGAATAAGGAGTTGAGAACTATGCTGCAAATGCTTATGGTGTCATCAGTCTGGGAGGGACTGCAAATATCTCAGAAGAATATGAGGGCTGTGTTGGTTGCAAATTGACCAGGGTTCAATATTGTTGTACTACTGAAAAATAAACCCAACCAAACAAACCTGAAGCCAAAACAAAAACCAAAGCAGACACCTTGCTTCTAAGACCCCCTGGCATTCTTCCCATCTTTCCAGCAGGAACAAGGTCCCCCCAGCAGTGCTGTGTCCAGTTTTGGCCACTGCAGTTCAGGCAACATATGGACCAGTTGCAGACAATACAGAGTTCAGCAATGAAAATTATTATAACTATTGTTTATAGTTGAGAAGGTTTGTAGATGAAAACAGTTTTCTGAAGACTGCAGCTGCAAAATAAGGGAACTATTTTTTTATTCAAAAACATGGTGCTGTTAAGAGGAGAAAAAATTGGCAGGTGACTGTAACCTGATAATAGGTTAGACATTGGCAAATCTCTGTTGTTGGACATCTATTGGAACTAATGAGAGCCATCTGTTGAGAGCGATTTTGGTATAACTGCCCCTTGCCTCCAGGGGCTGGGTGATTGCCCAAGGTCTCCTTGAGCCCTGGGGTGATTTAGACCAGCTTTGGAACCAAAAAAGGAGGATTGTATCACTGATTACTTTTTTTTCTTCATGAAACTGTTTTTGATACAATTTCTTCTCTGAGCTGAATGCTTATTACTCAAACCCTTGTTTAATGGAGTTGTATTTCATGTAAATTGAAGGAGTTTGATTTTAATGTATTATGTGGTCATGGCTTTAGGGCTGATAGAAGATTTGGCATAGTTCTCCTATTTGCCAGAGCAGATTGTTCCTCTCCAACTGAAAGGTCTGTCTAGAGGTGCAGGAAGGCACGCATTATTATTCAAATTAAATTTTCCTTTGTGATTAAAACTTACCATTCAGGAAAAGCCATTCTAGGCATTCCATGAAAATGAAAACAAAAACAAAAACGTAATTCAAAATCACCTTACTTGCCAGGGGCTTTTTTTAGCTTTTTTTTTTTTTTTATTAGTATTTACTATTTCACCGTTTTTTCTGGACCAAACAAATTCAAGCTGACCAAACAAGCAAAGCATTTAACATGGTCAGTGTTAAACAATTAACTAGTTTTAAAGATTTCGTTTGAACATATACCATACATATTTGCTTGTCTACTAAGGATCTACTAGATAAAAATCCTATATGCAAGTGAGATCTGTGGGGAAATAAATAAAACATTTCACCTAAAACAAATATATAGAGTAGATCATAATAGATTCTGGCTATTTAACTTTTAAATGTGCTTTGTACCCACTTGCAGTGACTGCTTTGCATAAAGACTTTTTTCTAAATGTGCACATGTAAATGTCAAGTTATGAGTCGAGTGGATGTGCACACATTGCTTAACTAATGCTGCTGCTGATAATGTGTATTGATGCAGCGTTTCATATCCATTCTTCAGAGAGCATCCTGACGATAAATGTTTGCTTATTAATACTTTAGCTGGAGAGGAAAATGTTTTATTTTTAATTGCCTCATAAAAAAAATCCTTCTAGCAGCTCCTGAGGATAATCTATGGAGGAGTTAGTTGATTATTTGAAAGCAGAGAGCTCACCAGTCTGCATTATTAGACACGGGAGCCCTTGAGTAGGTCATTTTATCTTTACCTTTCTGACAACCTTTAGCCCTGAATAGTTGATTTACTTTGTTTTTTGCCAACCTTCATTGCCAATAACTTGACCGGTTTATGGGTCAAAGATTCAGAAAACAGTCTCAGCTTCTGTCCATCGGAATTCATTGACTTCTGTGTTTCTGGGTGCATTCAGCAGTGCAGGCATGCAGATTTTTTTTATCCTGAAAGATTTATACCAAAGTATGGCTCAGCATAGCTCTGTATGGGCTGGGGATTAAGGAACTTTGACCTAAGGACTAGACTCTTGGACTCTGAGCCCTCGCATCAAAACCTTTGCTCAGTTGCTGACTTGCTCCTGATGTGCAGCAAATCTCTGCACCCCCCTCCCTCTGCCTTGCCTGTCAGCTATATGCAGCAGGGTCTGCTGCACAGCATGTGTTTAAATTGCAGACCCCCGTCAAACCGGTGGCTTGCAATGCATCAAGATGCTCTGCCAATAAAAATAAGAATTATTAAGAAAAGGCAGATAAAGCATTTGACTGTTGATTGACAACAAATAGCAATGGGGGATCAGAAGGGAAGGAAACATGTCTATTATTATTATTGCTATTATTAGTATTATTACTATTATTATTGCTATTACTATTATTATTGTTAAATTATTTGTAGAGTACCGTATTCCCTTTGTTAATGGTATTGCCCCTGGAAGCATCAATGAGCTGTTTTTATCCTGAGGGTGGTATTCATAAAATTTCTCAGATTGTGTGGGCAAAGTAAGTGGGTTTATTACTAATCTCTTTTTGCTTCAAGAATCATCATTAAATAGCTTCAAATTAAAAAATGGAATGAGCATACACCCTGATGGGCAAAGCACCATTTAAATGAAGTATTTTCTGATACTAATTTTGGAAGGAGGCACTTGTCCAAGAGTGCTGTAGCAAGCCCCAGTCTCCTGAGCTGAATATCTCTCCTGTGGTTCAGGTGCAAAATGCAGGATTCTTTTTCCAGATCCCCAAATGAGAGGAATCCTTCTCTATACCATGAGACTCCAGGGAAAATATCAACATCCATAGCTAAGCTATCTATGAAAGCTACCATAGATTTCAGGAATGATTAATAAAGTAAGGGAGGCTCTTATCTAATTGAATTATATTTTTGTGTGAGCCATAATTTATTTATTTATAAATTAATTAACTTTAATTAGCTGCTGGCAAGGAAATAGAGATTGGCATTTCTTATAAAGACAGCTTTCCCCTTTTCTCTCTCGTGTCCCATCGGTACATTTTTCTCAGAATTGGTTCTGATTCACTCATAAGTATTTGACAAGAGATTTAGAAACTCTTCTGTAATTTTTGCTCAGTGGACAAGACCCTGCTCCTGTAAGGAGCAAACATCTTCTCTATAGGTGTCAGAAATGCTTCTGTAGGACCAAGGTATACTTTATTCAGTATTCTGTAGGATTTGTTTGTCTGCTCAACAGCTTACACAGTCTCTCAGAAACCAGGAGATACATCTGTTTGTGGTTCCTATCACAGTTAAAGTGCAATTGGCTGTCCATGGTGGTTTGGATAAGAACAAGAGCAGTATCTTGAAAGGGGGAAATTGGCTTCTTTGTGAATTTTTTTTTTCTTTTCTGAATGACAGTATTTTGAGATGGTACTGCTGTTCGACACTCACTTTTGAATTTATACCTTTGCATATTTGTGATTGACTGTAATATTTTTTGGGGATGGAACAGCACATACTAGTAGCAATATATTAGTCTGCCAAGAAAGGACAGATCCATAAAGAAAGGATAACAGTAAGTGGAAGGGAAGAGATTAGGAAGCTGGCATTGGAAGCGAACTGGAACAAGAAGGAAAAAAGGTAGATACCAAAGAACCACGACTTTTTATGTGCTTAGAGTTACATTGTACGGTTTGAGATAAACTGGATGTCGTTTGACTTGATTGTTGTGTGTCAAAAATGAAACTAACCTTGGCACACCTAGAGCCTTCCATAGCTAATATCTCTTTTTAGTTCGCCTTTTAAAGTTTTGGAGTAACTGTACTTTCAAAGGTGAACCTTATATAGTAAAAAAAGACATGCACATGATATGCATTTAATGCAACATGGGCTTTTTTTTTCAGAGTATTTTCTTAAATATTTTTCTGTGCTCTTTTTCCCTTGTCAAGTCAATTCCTACATTTGTCTAAGTAAAAGCTGTTTGCATGTGAAAAGCTGAAGTAGATTTAGATGTGTGAGTTGTATCATTCTTGTCAAATTGACTGATAATCGTGATTTCTTTCCTGGTTTTGCTTCTCTCTTTGCTGAGGATGCAGAAGAAAAAGCTAAGAAAGAAGCAGAGGAAAATGCTCATCAGGGAACAGATGAAAAGAAAACGGATGAAAAGGATGAGAAGCCACCTGAAGATGCCACAGCAGCAAAGACAGAAGACAGCAAAGAACCAAATTCTGAGAAAAACAAAAGTGCAGATTCCAATAAGAATCATATAAATGGGACTCGGCAAACTGGGGGGAACAAAAATGAAACCTCTCAAGGGAAAAATGCACCTAGGACAGATAAAGAAACAGACTCTCATCATGCAGTGGTAGAAGAGAAACAGCATGTCCAGAATGGTGAGTTCTCTCCTTCCACTGAAGCATGAATCCAGCCCTAAACCCAGTATCTCACCTCAGTGATGGGGAGACCTGGCATCCTGAAAAAGGATGTCCTGGGCCCAGAGCCTCTTCTTGGACATTGGCATAGTCACCTGCGTATGGGAATTGGAATCTGTAAATTAACCCCCATGCAGTGTTCTTCATAAAAGATGGGGTTCATCATACCTGTGTGGGTACTTTTGGAGGAAAGGAAAAAAATGGCTTTTCTCATGGAAATGAAGCAGCCTGTCACAAACACACTTAAAAGCTGAAACAAATATTCTTGGTTCAATGAACAGCTTCATAGCCTGGGTTATAAACTCTTTTTAAGGCCAATTAAAAGTACCTTTGAACTGAGTCTCAGATATAAATATGTTCTGGGACAGAGGATTTCCCCCCTCTCTCTGTTTTTAAGAGTTATTTTATTTATGCTTCCTTTGCTCGGTTTTTTTATTAGGGCTATCACAAGCCTTTTTTTTTTGAAGAATTTCTTTTTGTCAGAAGCTTTATTCCAGTATTTTAAGTTGCTATAGAACTGAGTTAAAATAAGAATCACATTTTGCACCCAAGAAGGTGGAAAAATGTTTGAAAATTGCATTAAACATGAAAAAAAAATAGACTCATGAGAACAGATCAGTGGTCTCTTGGCCATTTCACCATTTTTCCCTCCTCAGCTCCTGCACCCTGAAGCAGTTTTCAAAAAATGGCAGTACAGCCACATGTAACTTGTCACAAACTTGGCTAGTATCAGCCAGTCCAAAACCAGCAAAAAACTCAGACTGAGAAGCCATCCTCTTAGAAAAAGCCTGAGTGAGCACACAGGCTTAGAAACTCCCAGGCTCAGGCAGTGAGTCTAGATTACAGCAGAGGCAGAAATTCTGTTTAAAACATTCCTGATATGATCCTCATGTATTTGACTTGGGATTGCTAGGAAAGGCCAGCAGCCTTCATCATTAGTTTTTTGGGGTTTTTTTAGATTGGGAGGACTATGGGGATCCAAGCTGTCATGCTCTGTTACGTATGGGATTTCTGTTCCGACAGTGTTACGCGGGTGAATAGGAATGGGCCCCCTAAGGAGGCAAAAAGGTTGAGGACATATGAAATCCCAGTTACACTGCATCAGATTTTTCTTCTGATATCCTTTGGTTTACATGCTTCTAACAGTACGAGGGTTAAGTGTGCTCTAGTGATTTCGACAGTCCCTTTTTCTGCAATGTCTCTCTCCTGCAGGTGTCAAAAATGCTGTGAAAGGAATTATAAAGATATCTGAAAACTAGTGTCTTCCTCAGGAAAAGAAATCCTGCTCATTAATTTATGGGAAAAGGCCTTTATGAAGTACCATCACTGCAGAGTCTTTGGAGACTGATGAAATCTTAACATTCATACCTCTGGCTTCCTCACAGCTTCCTTTACACCTATATGTTAATATCTCATTGTAAAGTATTTGCCTTATTATTTCTCTGCCTGTGTAATCCCTTTCAAAACGATCGTTATGATCATCATTCTGCTCTGCTGCTGGCAGTGTGGCAGGGTAGATATTACAATATTCAAAAGTCCCCTATTCATAATAAGCTATATTCAATGAAAGTTCAGAAATTGTGTTGTCACATGAGTTTGAAGTCTCTCTCAGTCACTCGCTGCCTGTGTGCTTTCTCAGAGAGATCAAACTGTGAAATAAAATATGTGTGGATGTGGGTGTTCATCATCTTTTCCTGCACTCCCTTAGGTTCAAGTAATTTCTTCATGCAATGGTCAAATAAAACATTATTAGCTCATTATTCCCATCAGCCGTATGATGGTGGAGGAAATGCGAGAAGACTTCTGTGCACTGCTAGATACATTTTCATTTAATTTCCTGAAGACAGCATCCTTCTTTTAGAGGCCACCTGCATCAAGCAGACACCTCAACCCTGCTTGGAGCTGCTCACACCTCTCTGTTTGAGGAGCCAAGTCATTATCAGTGTGATCAGCTGAGGAGGTTGCTGCTTGTCCTGTATCATCTTGCTTTCATTTTTTTTTTCTCACCCACACAGTGAGCTTAGGAAGAAAAACATGAAAAGTTTTGTCTCCGCATGAGAACTGAACAGGACATGTTTTTTCTATCTTGTTAAGTATTTAAAGAATTGAAAACCGTTTCTCTTCTATGCATTGATGAAACTTAACTAGAGAGAGAGATCAATCCTATGTCATCCAAGAATAACAAACATTCTAGTGGTTAGGGCATGATGTGAAAAAGGGAGACTTTCTCTCTTTTTGAACTGTTCCAAAAATAAGTATCCACTGGCCGTGACTGTTTTGAAGGCAGATCAGATCCTCTTTAACAAGTAATACCTATAATCTTGACCCAGAGGCTGTGAAGTCATTATAGTAACACAAATACTAATACAAATGGAATAAGCATTACTTTAATACAGCCCTGTAACATAACTTACATTTACAAAATTCTGAAGTGAGACTTCTACAGCTTTTTGAGTTGAGCTGTGGGTCATAAATGCATTGATACTCCTCTGGGGGGAAATAACAAACTGCCTGCTCCCGTCTGGGCAGACTGCTGATGCCTCTCTGGACATCTCCAGGAAGGACACCTTCTTTGCTGCTGTTTGGACACTGCAGCTGAAAGAGCCCCGTTCTGCTAGAACTCTCCCTATAAGTTATTTTTAATTTGATCTTGCATTTGACATTGTCATTCAATGAAGGGATGATCTGCGAAGGTCTGTTGTGCTCTGCTGTATGCCTTATAAAGGACAGAAAATGAGAATGACTCTGGTTAACCTTCCTGGCTTCATAAAATACACCCCAGCTCAAGTTGCCATTTTCATTCTGCATCAATCGTTGCTCTGCCAAAGGTTTTGCTTTCCTGGTTTACCATACAGACTTTCAAGCCAGTGATCAATGCTAGGATGATTGTTTGTTCCCTCATACTGTCATCAAAGGACCAACCCAAATAAATCTGTGGATAAAGGAAAATGCTAAGAGAAAGTAAGGCAAAATTATATACAACTCTTTGAGGTCTCTCAGGTGGTTCTTTAGTACAGACAATTGTGATGAAGTCTTGCAGGGTCTTAGTCCTTTAAAAGCATAAATGTTTCGGAGTCCTGGTTTTGAAATGAAGGTTGTGCTCAGATTTTTAATGGTCTACGTACAGAGGGAGTATGAGTTTGACTGTGCGCTTAAAAAGGCGTTAACAATTAGAATAAATTTAAAAGTAGATTGTAAAGCTTGATTTTCTGTAGGAGTTGGATAAATTTTGTCTGGCACTCTATTCTATGAAAATGTGTTAATCCAGTTCCTTGTGAATTCAGACCTTTTCTCCTAACGAACATCTCCTTTGGATGTTGCAATTTGATTGAGTTGCAGACAATAATAAACTACAGTCTGCATTAAAATGCTTATAGTGATTCTTATTGCTTCTTTCTAGGTGAATTAAAGGAAGACAAGTTGGACAAAAAAGATCAGTCTGGCATGGGGGATGAATCAAAGAAAACAGATGGTAAGGACACATTTTGTTACATTTTGTCATTGGATTTTATGTGCAATCTATTGTTTCCTAAACATCTGCAGTTTATTCTAAAACCAAAAAATTGTGTGGTGACCAGAAGCAAACTTAACAGAAACAGTGTTTAGACTCGACAAAAGCCATTGGGGCATTCTGGGGGAAAATCATCCCTTTCACATAATGCCTAGCACCACTTAGTTATTCTGTTGGTAAGCCTTATCCATCATTTTTTGTGCAGTGCCTGCAAGAATAATCCTAGATTATTAGAGTTGCTTAACAGGAAAGGCAGATTTATGAGTTCTGTCCTTCTGACTTTCTTTGGGCTGTATTCTGCGCTCTGTTAGGACAGGCTGCGTGGGAGATGCAAAAAACAGAGCTAAGAAAAAAACCTGCATGAGGAATTTCATGATTGCATGTTATACTATGCCCCTAAAAACACAAACCTTTCTTGACTTAGTTGTCTGAGGGGGAATTTGCCAAGTGCTGTCAAATCACAGGTGTGGGAAGCAATCAGGAGTGAGCACATCAGTGTAGAGGTCCTACTGAGTATGCTATATAAAAGGTATGTTGGTGAACGTTGTTGAACTGAAGCAGTCCCAAGCCATGGGACAATTTCTTGGTCGTCTGGGAATAATTTCAAACAAATCTGAGTCTAGTGTAGAGGTCCACAAACATTTTAGCAGCCTCAGCAAAGTGGAAAACCAACTGTAAGGTCTATGGCTTATTTACTCTTTTCCAACTCCTCAGCCCCTCAGAGATAGTTTCAGAACCCATGTGGCTCCAAAAGTGATTTTTAAAGTAGTAATTAGCAAAATAAATGGAAACAAATGTTAGAGCTAACATTTTCTTTGTGTATGTCTCAGTGAAATCCACTGTAACACAGCTCTTCCTAAATGTTAATAATACAGTAGTTTGGTTTGATGGTTGAGAAAGACAACCTCATAGTAACTACTGCAGGTTAGATACTATGTTTTCTTTTAGTGCTTCTTTTTAAGAAATTATTTAAAATTCCTATTTCTCTAGGAAAGTGATAAATAAGAAAATGTGATACCTCAAGTAAAAATGTAGAAAACTTAATCTAGAAGCATGTATTATTTTCAGACACATAAATAACTTTTTTTTAAAGAGGTCTCTTAGCAACAATTGTTTAGGAAAATTCAATTATTTTGGTAAGAGGTCATATTATTTAGACACTTGATTTAAGAGTGTCAGGAAAACAGTCTTGGACAAGTACCATTCACAACTCTTTCTGTGGTCATGAAGAAATTAAGCACAACCACTCAAATAACATGCGAATCTTCAGATGCTCATGAATATGTGCAGTGCTGTATGTAAGAAAATGTTCTGCTGGTCCCTTTAGGGAAAAGACCAATACCATGGGACCAGTTTATTCCAGTTGAATAAGCAACTGTAACCATGCAAGGACAATTTGTAGGCTGAATGTTTTTCATTCAAATGCTGTAGAGACAGGTTATAACTAATGATCTCATTCATCGAAACCAGGAGAAAAATTGTGAATGATGTGCCTTAGAGAGGAAAGTGCTAGGGTGGCACTCCTGCTTTGCAAATACTGTGCAACCTGGTGTGTCCATTACTCACTCCAGAGCAAATCTCCTTACCACCCATGTGATGGACGTAGAGTCAAATCGTACCCCTGCATTTTGACTGGTCATAGTTGCAGTAATACGTTCCTCTGTGCAGTGCAGCAGAATAGAATACAGTTAATGTAACATAGTTAATATAATGTAATGTAATGAAATATAATACAATATGTAGCCTTTAGAATATGCAGACTCTGTGAAGAGCTCATAACAGACTTACTAGAAATCGAGGTTTTAACTTTATTTTTATTTTGTTAAGCTATACTGTTGCTTAATAGTAGTTAAAAGCCGTTCCTACATGTTCTATACATTGCGTATGCCAATGTGTAAAGCTGCCTTTTGTTCTTAATTTTTCTTGACAATCATTTCTCGATCAGCAAGTGGAAAGCTCCCTGATTATAAAGGTAAAATACAGAGGCTTCATTTCTTTCTGTCACAGTTGTCCCCAGCAATCGAGTGGCAGCGTAGCTGACACAGAATGTTGTTATCTGAGAATGCCTTTGGTATAGGGACATGGTGGTGTGAAAGAGCCACAATGGTGGCTCCACAATTATCCCAGACAGAGTTGAATCAACAAGATTCTTCATAGCTTAATTTAAGGAGAACACAGCTTTTTGAGGAACTGTTTGACCATTTAAGAATTGCCTGTTTTCAAGTGCGTCAGTCTATCCAAGACCCCTACATAGTAATGAACACTAAGTAGACTTCTGACAAAACTCATGTACTCCATATAATGCCAATGTTGTTTTAAAAGAGGTTACTCAAGCATATAAAGGAACATATATGTATCTTCTTGAAAGAGGTAAAAAGATAAATTTCAGGTCATATAAATAATGGTGCCATTTCTATTTCTATTCCAAAAGATAGACTGATTTCTCCATTATTGTTAGAAGCAAAAGTCCATTTCAGTTTGTAAGGCAAACACATGGGATTCCTCTTTGCTGCTTGGTAGTGCTCTTGATATTATATGTCAGAATCCAGCAGCAGCGCCAAATTGGAATTGCAGTAGTCTAAGACTACTTCTAACGACCGTTTCCTTCATTTTCTTACTCCTTTTTATGGCCTATTATTTGAATTACATTGAGGTTGTTGCCCCAAGTTAGAAATCAGAAAGCGTATGGATGCCTTCTGGAAAAGCTTGCTTGAAAGCATGAAGGCATTTTGCTATCCAAAAATACATATTTCACCATAATTTATCTCTGCTGAAGTCATAGTAGTGCAGTATAGGATAATTGGAGGGGGGAAAGGCTTCTGTGCTTTTTAAAATCCTTTTTGTGCTCTTTTGAAAAAAATTAGTGCATCTAATTTAGCAAGTGGCACCTGAGGCAAGCTGGAATTTGCATAGAGAGATGTACTCTGAAGAAGGTTTTGTGCAGTTTTAATATCAAATAGAAGGTGAACATGATGTGATGTGATCTTTGAAACTGAATGCAAAATACATTGTTAGCATCCTGACCTTGGGAAAATTGCATCACCATGGCATGCATGCTCGATGAGAATATGGGGAATATGTAGAAAGGTACCTTGTATAATTATGCAAATGATTTTGCAACTTGTTGGTTTTGTGAGTGTGTGGATGTAAATCTTATGGAAAACACCTGGTTTGAGACTTTGATGCATCTCTTTTTCCAGCCTGCTTCCCGTCATTCAAGCCATGCCGGGTAGTTAGAAAGTCAGTAGGATGCTTGATTGCTTTTTGCTTCTATTTTACGTGAGGTCACAGATATACATGACACGTTTAAAAATTGGGAATAGCATTGGGCTTGATTTCAGATTTAAGTGAATATTTGGAACATTCATTCCAGATGCATGGTGGAAAAAAAATTCACTGTAGACACTTAAGTGGGGGTTTAGAGTTAACTTTATGGGGAACATTTTTTCAGGTTACCTTTGGTCCTTTAAATGTAGTTCTACTCAGAGATAGTATATGGCTGCATTGCTCCTAGAGGGTAACATCCACGGTCCTAGGGGCATGGAGGAATGTATAACTTACACAGTACATTGTGGAAATTCCTCCTTGATTTTGCACCATCAGCCATTTTATTGCACCAGTCAGGGAGTGGAGCTGTGACCTTGCTTCTGTTGCAGTCCTTCTTACCCCATTTAGGATGATTTGTCTGTGCAATGATGTCTAGAAGTTTTCTGCTTCAACAAAAGGAGGAGTCCTTGCTCCCCAGCTCCATGAATTTATGTTCAATCCAGTGACAAATTTATGTTCAATCCAGTCCCCTTGGGCTGCTCAGTCTGCAGTTCTGTACCATTCAGTCCGCAGAAGCTGGGCAAAGAGAAAAGAGGGTCAATTTACAGGTTTGTTTTCTGAAATTCATACCTAAATAGTAATCTTTACTACTTATTACCGTAATTGGTCCATTGCTAGGCAATTCATTCTTTTCTCTACTTCTGAACCACTACTTTGCTTTTCTTAATGTCAAAACCTGGGCTTTGAAGGCAATAACAAATGCAGAAGAAGAAAAGCAGGAGGTGATATTAGCTGAAAAGTGCTATTTTGAATCAGGCTAAAGTATTTAGGAGTTTAATTCAAAACAAGTGATTATCAAAAACTGAAGACACTGAGAAAAATCCAGATGAGAATTTTTGCTTTAAAGTGATGTTTCACATTTTTAGACAACTTTAAGTAAATGGTATAAAGTTTTGTTTGAGTTAGATGAAAAGCTTAGGTTGATCTTTCATTTCCTCTCCACCCCCCTCCAACCAAAAAACCCACTCCCCAACAATTGTTTTTGCCATGAGAGAAAGCAAGCAATTACTCATGTCTGACCCAGAGCTAAGCATTATCTTAATTTTTCAGTTTAGTCACTCAATCAAAAAATTATTGACCTAGTGCTAATTACAAAAATTCTGATTCATATATTTAGCTGAAAACTTTGTTGGCGTTGATTATTCCTCTGCCTATGGCAGATCATTCATTTTGTGCCTTGAAAAGCACTGGGGTTTTTGTTTCCATCCACAATGGAACAGCTCTTTGTGAAAACCATGATCTAGTTTTTTCCTCAAACATGTTCAGAGCTTTGAATTATGTTTGATTATCAAATACAGAATAAGCTTTCGCACTTACTCCTGTAGGTCACTTTGCGTAATAAGTGTATAATTTCTTTCATATATGCTTTACTCCGGAAACTCAGATGTTATTTGGTGTAACCAAACTTTTGCCAATGTATTCATTGTGTTTTTCTCTGCAGTTATGTATTTCCATAATGTGCTGGTAAGCAAACAACATATATTAAAACAAAGCTAATCTCTCTTCCATCACTGATGTGATCTCAGGTCAAGTGTAATACAAGCTGTCAAGCAAACATAAAACTCCACATCAGTGTGAACAGGGCTAGAAATTGTTTGACGTCATGAATGATGTAGGGATAATTATGTGCCAAA